AGTGTCTATTTATCTAATATAATTTTTAACATATAAGGCAAAACGCAAAAAAAATTGTAAAAATCGTCATCAAAGGGCAATAATTCCAATAAGGAGTCGTTGAACGATTTCCTCCGTATTGTCTTAATTATAGATCTTGTCTTGCTGATCATTTTTGCTTATTTAAGTTTCTATCTATCTATTATAATTTTTAAGATATAAGGCAAAAACGCAAAAAATTTGTAAAAATCGTCATCAAAGGGCTATAACTCTAAAGTCGGCTGACAATTTCAACCCTGCAGACTTATTTGTAGAACTTGTCATGCTGATAATTTTTGCAATTTGAAGTTTCTCTCTATCTATCATAGTTTTCAGTATAACAGGCAAAATTGAACAAAAATGGTAAAATTTGTCATTTTAGGGAAATAACTCCTATAAGTAGATGCCTGATAGTTTTGATGTATATATATGGACAATTGGTAGAGCTCATCATTCTGAACATTTTTCCCCCTGTCAGATTTTCTCTATTTATAACGGTTTTCAAGATAATAGACAAAATTTGCATTTTACCCCTTTGTTCTTTTTTTAGCCATGACAGCCATCTTGGTTGGCAGGCCGGGTCATCGGACACATATTTTAAATAAGTTACCCCAATGATGATTATGGCAAAATTTGGTTAAATTTGGGCCAGTAGTTTCAGAGAAGAAGATTTTTGTAAAAGTTAATGAGGAGGAAGACGAGGACGATGGACGACGGAAGACAGACGCCAAGTGATGAGAAAAGCTCACTTGGCCTTTTAGGCTAGGTGAGCTAAAAATAGGGTAGGCAGTTTGGTATTTACATTTTATTTATTTTTTCATTTTATTTTTTGCGACATGACTTTGAGTAGTGCGCTACATCTTGTTTTGGTCCAAGTTGTCCATGGGCAGAGTTTACCTGTATTTTTAATGATTGGATTATTTCCTTTGGTTATTGATTCGAAAAAAATGGCAACAGAGTTTTTATTTCATCACATGAGTCGCGAGTTTCCAAAAACAGCTGTCATATTGAAGATTGAGAACATTTAGATGTATCAAGCAATTGATTTATTCTATTGGCAACTCTAACTTCCCTTTTGACACACAAGTTCAGTTTATCACTATACTATGGGAATAAAATGACTTAGGGTCGGTTGGGTAAGCCTAAACAGGCATATACTTTTATATCTGCATCAATTTACATACAATAATAAAACAATTAAACATAGTACTTAAAAGGTGTATTGATACATTAAGGATTTAGAATTACTAGTTTAAATGTATAATTTACAACTCATTCTTCAGTTGACATTATGGGTCTCTGTGGCCGAGTGGTCTAAGTAGTTACTACTGTAATCACTAGCCAGTCAACACTGAGGTTGTGAGTTCGAACCCCGCTCGTGCGGGTGCACTCGACTCCAATCTTTATTGACTAGGATTGTCAGTGTTCCTATCGAAGGTCGTGGTTTTCTCTGGGCACTCCGGCTTCCTCCACCAATAAAAACTGGCCGCCACGAAATAGCCTAAAAGCGGTGCTTAAAAGTGGCGTTAAAACACCAAAAATCAAAAAAAAAATCAGTTGACAATGTGTTAAACAAGAACACTTTCAGAAAGTCAAAACATACAGGTAGTTATTGCATATTACCTACCCCCGGTATACATAGACACTAACTTATTCATTTTTGTCCAAAATGAGACTGTGAAATATCAAAGTTTAGATATGATCACTATGGCCATGTTAACATATAACAGGTGACCTCAACATCTTTCGAAATGAAAAGTTTATAAACTTTCTGGAATAGAAAATAAATTAAAAAGAGTGTAGCCAGGACACTAATGATGCCTTTTTATAGCCTTTTGTAAAAAAAGGTGTAAATGGAGAGATCTGATAAAATAATATCCTTTCCACTTCCCATCTTAACATGCTCAAGTTCTCCTCTGAACATTTTTTACCATTTATTAGCTACCTAAACAACACAAAACATCGGTCTTATATCACTTCCTCTTGGCTTCTAGTTAGTGTTCCACAACTTATCTTTCTATCCTTTAATTAGGCCACTGACTACTATAAACATTTTTAAATTGAGCATAGAAAATAATGGGATAATTAAGGTTAAACTAGGCAATCAGTTTATCATCTAAATTCAATTAGAAAGAATAGAGGTGAAAGATAACAAAGGGACATTCAAATTCATAAGTTGAAAATAAACTGACAATGCCAAGGTAAAAAAAGAAATAGACCTGTAATGTTAATTGGTCGTTATTGTTTCTAATAAGACAAATCTTCTAGTAGCAATACATGCTTCACACCTGAAAAAGCGTTATGTAGATTTAGATGTTTGGCAGGAAAGTCAGTGGTTGGGTCTAAGATTATAGGGGTGGTTGTGTTATGTTTATTAAGGGGGACATTTTGGGAACACTCTCATTCATGAAATATTGTATTAGCTCTGGAATATATAAGCAGGTAAGGATTACCATTCGGTAAATGTTCTTATATAGATTGATTGGTGTTTAACGCCACATTAAACACTATTGTGCTATTTCATGGTGGTCAGTTTTTATTGGTGGAAGAAGCCGGAGTGCCTGGAGAGAACCATGGACCTTGGGTAGAAAAACTGCCATTCCTAGTCAATTAAGATTGGAGTTGAGTGCACCTGCCCCATGTGGGATTCGTACTCACAACCTCAGTGTTGACTGGCTAATGGTACAGTAGTTCAAATATTTAGACCACTCAGCCACCAAGGCCCCTTCTTATATCAAAGAAGACCAGTAAACAAACAGAGATACTTGGTATAAATATTAGTTGTGTACAAGCAATAATATTTATTAAGGACACTTTGTATCGGGTACAAAGTAAATGTACAGGTTGGATTGCTTTAGGCAGAATTGATAGTAACAAACTGTCCCACTTGGAGGACACACTGCAAAAGCCCACACTGTTTTGTAGTGACAGACTAAACCAGGTGCACTCAAACAGACTGTACCAACTCACACTGTCTGAAAGCAACAGACTGTGCTACTTGGAAGACAGACTGCCCACACTGTCTGGTAGTGATAGAATGTCCAAATCAAAGGACAGAGTGTACCAGCTCATCTTGTCTGAAAGAGACAGACTCCCACTCGAAGGACACACTGCAAAAGCCCACACTGTCTGGTAGTGACAGAATGTCCAAATCAAAGGACAGACTGTACCAGCTCATCCTGTCTGAAAGAGACAGACTCCCACTCAGAGGACACACTGCAAAAGTCCACACTGTCTGGTAGTGACTGTCCAACTCAAGAGGATAGACTGTAACAGCTAGCACTGTCTGAAAGCAACAGACTCCCACTCCCATCCAGAGGACAGGATGTTAGATTGTATAATACTTGTTTATATTATTGTTCATTGTTACATTATATCGACAAAAAGTCAGTGTGTATCTTTCAATTCGTTGTACATAACATACATAGATTGTTATAGATTTTTGGTATAGCCGTATTGTTTATGGACAGCTTGAATCCAAGTATTTATTGGAACGAATAGTTTAAGATATAAACACCTGACTGATTAAACTTTACAAACCAAAAGAAAAACAACAGTACACAAAACACAACATAGAAAACTAAAAATTAAAAAGTAACAAAAACCCCATCAAAACCCAGGGGTGATCTCAGGTGCTCCAGAAGGGTAAGAAGATCCTGCTCCACATGTAATTTGTATCACTTACAGTTTCCTTAATGATAACAAATTATCTTTTAACTATACTGCATAAAATTTGACTTTAAATAAATATATAATATGAACAGCAATAGTTGTCCTTTTTTTCAGTTGAATTTTTAGTTTCACACTGGAAACTCTATACAAAAATTTACGACAAAAGTTACTATTTTTGTTCCCTACTGTAAATTCTTCTTAGTCTTAACTGGGCATGTTACTTTGGAACCTTCTTACAGTGTGTGATTTTCCCAACGCATTCTATGCCAGGTTGAAATTTGAAATGACTCTCCTATCCTTAAAATGAAAATATATAAATTGGCCAAGACAAGATGAAAAATAAACATTCTGCCCCTCAAAATGCAGGAAATAATTGAGTTCATAATAAATGTTGGCACTGCTTAGACCATAAGTTATAGAGTCCTAGGGTCTTTTTACTTTTAGGTTCTTGGTCCAACAAAAAGAAAATGAGTTTAGGGTCACAGGTCAGAGTCATGTTGTAAAATTCGACTTTTGCTTGTTATTGCTATTCCTAAGAAACTGTAAAAGATATTGTTAAATTCTTTTTTTTTCTCCAAATTATTAATTGCAATATGTTGTTTTTCAATACATTCAGGTTTAAATGGTACGGCAACAAGTTATGTGAGTTTTCTCCCTTTTAATATTTGAAATAAACTGCATAGTGATATCACTCATAAACCATACAAAGTAGAGACCTATAGCTAGCTAAGGTCTTTTGATTTAAATTCATGACCTCTGTGTGTGAGTCCGACCTTGAAAATGAGGTCACAGTCAAAGGTCAATCAATGTCCTGGATTTTCACCTTAGCTATAAATTCTTACTGATACTTGATAAAACAGTAGAGTCTTTTGCATAAGGTTGTAAAACATTTACCCTTGAAAAGTGACCTTGTGTAACTAACAGAAAGTAGCTGTTTTTGCACAAATTACATTTAAAGTGCCCTTTTATTTGGAATTATTCTGAATATGCAAGTCTTTAAAATCATTGGACTTTTCCATCTCTAAAACATTATAGATGTGATAGGGTTTCTTGCAAATGACACATCTATTCACCACAGACCCAAGGCCATTAGTGAATGCAACTATAGGTCACTGTATGACCTTCAACAATAAGCAAAACACAAATATAACACATGTATATTTTTGTATTTAGAATCATATTTCCTAAAGTCGCTTCTTGGAGTACATGACATCACCATACTGTCACATATTGGATTGATTAACCACTCACTCCCCCACTCCCCCCCCCCCCCCCCCCCCCCAACAAAAACATATTTGAAGTTGCCTTACCTAAACAAAAAACTGCAAATATGATACCATAGGCCGAGTTAGTCTTGAAGAACATATAACCAGCTAATACTTTAGCAAATAAGCACACAGTGCTGATGTACTGTCTTGCTGCAGCTGAAATAAATAATACAGTCAAATAGTTATTGTTCTCAAGATTTATAGCTACAAAGGGACTGCCACTGAAATAAATCAAAGCATCATGCATGTTGTGTTTCACCCAGTTTTGTAGCTAGTCTGACCTTTTTTCTGACCACACTTTCAATAATTATTTTGTTATCTTCATTTCCATAATCTTTCTATAAAATTTCTCTTCTATTGCTAAAAGATGTAGAATTTTACAATATTGATGCAAATTATTTTGGTGTTTTAATTGATGCAGTATGATTGCCAAAGAGAAAACTCTCTACCAGAGACTAAATGACGTAGACATTAGAAAATATAGTTCAATGTATGGCCTTCAACAATGAGCAGAACCCAAACAGCATAGCAACCTATAAAAGGCCTTGACATGAAAAATGTAAAGTAATTCAATGGAGAAAAATTACTACTTGATTGATATACAAAGATGATATACATTCAAGCCAGTCATGCCTGTATTAACTAACAAATAGAATAATTATTTATAATGAAGAGGTGTATCATAGTATCAACAGATCAACAAATTAGCATATTATTTCATTTAATTTTATTAATCAATTTGGCTTATTGTTTTTCTGAAACTTTAATTTCAACTTCAAAATATACCTCCCTGATGTATGTACATTATAACTTTCTAAGCATTATTATTTTGAATCAAGTGTCTCTTAAATTTACTCCCAAATTGTCTGGAGCTATTCATTGACACATCTGAAAGACAATTGTCTACTGGTGTTGTTGGGTCACTGACTCCATGTATTTACCTTGTTTTCTGTTTTTCATTACAATAATACAACCTAGGAATGTCAACATCTCCCATTCTTTCTGAAAAACACAAAACAGTATTCAATAGAATTAACTCATCATAGATACCAGGATTGAAATTTTGTATTTGCGCCAGACACGCGTTTCGTCTACATAGGACTCATCAGTGACACTCGAATCATAAAAAGTTAAAAAGGCCAAATAAAGTACAAAGTTGAAGAGCATTGAGGACCAAAAATTCCTAAAAATTTTGCCAAATACAGCTAAGGTAACCTATTCCTGAGGTGGGAAAGCCTTAGTGTTTCAAAAATTCAAAGTTTTGTAAACAGTTAATTTATAATTATAACCATATCAATGATAATTCATGTCAACACAGAAGTGCTGACTACTGGGATTGTGATACCCACGGGGAATAAAGACTCCACCAGCCGTGGCATCGACCCAGTGGTTGTAAGTAAACTCATCATAGATACCAGGATTGAAATTGAAATAAAAAGATGTGGTATGAGTGCCAATGAGACAACTCTCCATCCAAGTTCTCCATCCAAGTCACAATGTGCAAAAAGTAAACAATTATAGGTCAAAGTACTGACTTCAACATGGAGGCTTCCAACAAGAACAGTTCATAAATATATAAAGATTACTGAACATAAGAGAGGCAGAAGATACCAACTGTGCAGATTATAGTAGGGCTGTTTGGGTTTCATTTCTTGCATAAGTGGATGGCGATACATTACTGTTCAGTGTTGGTGAATTAGACCAATCTCATGTTGTTTTATATGAATGAGACCCAAGGTCAATCGGCGTAAACGATGTCATTGAACATTCGGTTCTTACAGTAATGTAATAACATAAGCAATATGACATAGGAAATGTACAAAGGTGCACGAATTAGAAAATTGTCCATGCAATCTCCCAAGGTTTTTTTCAAATTTCTCTAGTTGATTTAGGCTGTCTTGCCTGGAAGATCCAAAAGAGAAGAGACATCAGCCATAAGCTTTAATGCAGACAACTTTGTATTTTGACTGAGGCTTATGGGGATATATATAGGACTCAGAGGTGCAATGAGGATGCTGAAGTGCAATGGTCATGCTGAAGTGTGATGGTCTTCGCTGAAGTGTGATGGTCCTTTCTCTAATTTTTGTGCTATTTTCACATTTCCTGAGTGGTGTGAGAAAAATATTTCTCATCACTAGTGAAATATCTGTTCTCAGCAAATGATTTGTCGAAATTTAATTATGACGTTTAAATTTCTTGATTTCTTCTGAATTTCCTATTGTGACGTCATGAAAAAAGGCGACCATGCCTGATGACGTCAGATATAAAGAACACAACTTTCTGCAAATGTTTGAAAAGGACGGATAAAAATCATTAGAGAAACAGATTCCACCACTATAACTCCTGTATTACAATATTTCTCCACTCGCAACAGTTAAATTTTAATTATTTAAAAAGCTTGGCAAGCCTCTCGCTTTAAATACTAAAATTAAACTGTCTCGATTGGAGAAATATTGTAACACACTTGTTGCAGTTATGGAATCTATATTTCCCTGATGTGTGATGGTCTGTATAACTAATGATGGGAAGTTTAAAATCTTTAGATGTGAAATTATTATGAGAGAAATCGTTTATTGGTGTATAAAATTGCAACCATTATTATTATTAAAATATTTATGGCGTTTAGAAAGCTATGATTTATAAATGTATATATGGTTGAAATATAATAATTGTTATAGGAATATCATCCTGTAATAAGCCTGTTTACCATATATATACAAACAAGAATTATTTGATGATAGTATATTGTTTGAATATCACCTGTAAGTACCCTGCTCATATTATAGTTACATCTATTATACAATTTAAGAATTAGCCTTTGTTTGAGGTTGATACAATGATATACTTCTTTGGGTTGATATATCCTGTATTGACCTGAAACATAGGCTATAATTGTTATTTATCATATATTTACTAGTAGCCTGCTGTTTAATCCGTATCCCTCAACTTTGATGCGCACCCATTATCACACCATTCATCATGTTCATCATATGTCTACCCTTTATCACACCCCTACTCGGATTTCTCATTTATGACTAAATCTACATGAAGTCCATGTTTTAATTTATGCAAGCTTCTCATCCTTTCTGTATCTCGCAAGTAAAATCCTGAAGATTAAATAGTGAAACATTTTTCTTTAATGGGTCCCAAATGAAACGGTCATTAGGGCGTGACGTCATTTATTGAATAATGTCATTGTTTCACATGTGACGTCACAGACCTCAAGCTTTCATATTTTCTGGCACATGAAATGCAACCATAAAAAACTACCGCCAGCAAGAGGATTAAACTTTAAATTTTCATATTTCAAAAGTGCACATTTTACTAACCAGTCTCAAAGTAGTCTCTTGTTAACTTTATTACAGTACACTTGTTATTTGATGGTTTATCATGTTTATTGTTACTATATTTTTTTTAACAGGTTTTATTCAGAATTAACATTACAAAAGGAGGTTAAAAAGAACTCAATGAAATACCATACAAAAACAAAACACAAACAAACAAACAACAAAAAACTACAATAAACAAAACTTTCTATGGACAACAGGACGCAAATTGTGAGGTAATCCAGTTGCTTAGGATGAATAATTAAGCAGTTCCTATATATGATAAAGCAAGGCAAAAATAAATCTGAAGATAACCCAGGTGCTTTAGATCAGTAAGCAGTTCCTATATACTCTACTGTTTAAATATATGATAAAGCGTATAAAACATGGCAAAATCCGTATCACATGCCGTAGCACCCTCGACCAATACCATCCCTCGGGCCTAAAGGTCCTCAGGCTGATATTGGTATCTCAGGATGATATGGCATGTGATACGGATTTTGCCATGTATTTTTCTCTATATATTTAATTTACGACCATATTTGTCAAAATTGTCATGCAATATATTCTCTTTTTTCGATCTTTTAATTTTGTTTAAATTTTACAGATATACATGTACCATATTGTCTCCTTGACATTAACAACATTTTAGTTATTATTTCATTTATTTTTATGTATTTTGTGTACATCTTATTTATTTGAAGGTTTTTTTTTAAATAATCGATCCTAGATATACACTTTTTAAAAACTTTTAACAATATCATGAACTTCATTAGATGACGTTACAAAGTATACATGTATTGGTTTTTATATCTTCTAAAAATAACCGTGTTATATCACTTTTGCTATCCCTTTTTTTTCTGCATACTCTCGATGAATAACTTAAAAACATAAAAAAACTGATTCTAAAAAAAAATGACTTCTACTTTGTCATGTGAACATACATGTAAAAAACCATTTAAAACATAGTTAATATAATACGTTGCACTTCAGCGAAACCACCAACACATTTTGGCATAGCTATTCAGCAAGATAGCTTCACAATGTCACCATGGCACTTAAGCATGATCAAAAACGCAGTCAGTGTCAAACCATTGCACTTCAGCGTGACGATCAAGATTCGGAGTACCGTTGTAGTTCAGAGTCTTACAGATATATTCATGATATCATATTATAATGTTGACTCAATAATTTCAATCATTTTATCTGATATATTATGCTGTTGATCATGTTGATGGGCACTGTAATTTGGATAAATGAAATATTCTATTCTAAAACCTGTGATCTGTTCTACTTATACAAACACTACATAGATTTTTGTCAAATGGAAACCTATATCAACAGGACTTATTTTAAAACAGGTAATCATCAGCAAACAGACCAGGGTTTAACGATGGATTTTACAGTTTTGTTGAGACAGTTTATACAGACAAGAAGAAGGATGTGTCCCAAGGACTGCACCCTGTAGAACATGGGCACTTGTTTCTATCCATGGGAAGGTAGACTATCCATATATATATATCATCGATAATGGACCTTTCCATTGATAGAAACAAGTGTCTGTGGCTGTGCTGTAGAACTCCTAATACTGCTGCTGACCAGGAAAAGGATGTGTCCCAAGATCATGAAGGTGTACCCTGTAGAACTCCTGAAATTGCCTCTGCTTTGTCAAATGTTTTTTCCTTGACTAATCATGTTGTTTCCTAAAGCTCTTTACTCATTTAAGAGTAGAGTCGCAGGCATTGTAGTATTCGTGCTTAAAATTAAAAAAAAATCCATATTGATTCGGTTACTAACTTACCAAATCTAAATTGCAATCGTCAAATAGCAATTCGCATACAGGAGGAAGAGTCTTAAGTAATATATAAGAAATGCTTAATATAATGTTTGTGATATAATGTGGCACTAAAATTGGCTTCGCTGATAAATATGCAGAATGTAGCGTGTCCATCTTGCACGGTTTGCTGTTAGCGTCCACTGTAATGTGTCTATATTTATTTTTTATTAGCCACCGGCAAGGTCAAAGATAGCATAAAGGTTGGGGAATGAAACGACTTGTCCTTGACTAAGTTTTAACTGTATCTATTCTGGACACGAATAAATCTCCGTAAATAATAATAATAATAATAATAATAATAATAATAATAATAATAATAATAATAATAATAATAATAATAAGAACTTCTTAATAAGAACTTATTTATTTGAAGAAGAGCATAAGTACTATGCTTTCCTTAATAGTTGTTTTAATCATTTTGTCAAATCAGAGACATATATACACATTTATATGTCTCTGGTCAAATCAAGGATTTGTATAGTATAGTACGGAACCCCCTTTTTTTTGGACGATCAATGCATTTGAATGGGGACATATAGTGGAACCCCCCTTTATCCTGGGTTGGGACCCCCCGCTTTTAAAAATTGCTGGATCCGCTACTGAATTTTAATCGTAAGATTCTTTTTGTGAAAAGAGTGAAAGAAATTAGACATATATATATATTGTGTGTGATAACGGCTCAGTTATTTTATGTTTAATTTGATCTAAACATGCTAGAATACAAGGTTGCTTTATTCAATTCACTATAAAAGTATTTAAATTTCATATTACTTTATATATTAATTTATTCAATTTATCTTCAATACCATTTTATTTATTTATATCTTTGGAAGTGATAAGTTTTTCATTACAACCTGATCATGCAGGAGTTGCTCCGGTGGGGTGAAGTTCACTCCCCACACTGTATATATGAGCCGGCAGTGCAGCACTGCCATCCTTCTCTCTACACCAGATCACAGGAATGAATCATTCCACACACTGTATATATGAGCCGTCAGTGCAGCTCTGCCACCCTTCTCTCTACACCAGCTCATAGGAATGAATCATTCCACTCGAGATATTTAAAAGCAACTACATTGGCATTATCTTTGATACGATTTACCAGATTCTAAAACACAACGCGAAGTATACAGATACATTTACTCTTTAAACTTAGTTTTTAAATATCTATTTTATTTTAATACATTAGACTTGAAATATTTTTCTTTTCCATTTCGTTTGCGAACAATACTTTTGAATTACATTTCATTTTGAACTTAACTTTTGAAATACTCTTCTTTTTCACTTCATTTGACTATGTTTTATTTGAATGTTGTACATTTGTAAATGAACTGTTGAGTTCTATTTGATTTGTGTCTCTATTCTGCCAAAATCTGATATCAGGTATCCCGAGGATCGAATAGGGACGAAGTACTAGCCACTACACGTCCCGGGAGGTGTCGTCACCGACCCCCTGCTGTTACACAGTACTCATATTGCACCCACCATGTTATCAAAAATAGCAGCATCTACATGATGATGATGATGATGATGATGATGATGATGACGATGACGATGACGACGACGACGACGACGACGACGACGACATGTTAATGTACTATTATGAATATTAACCCTGATTTGTACTAGACCGACACGCTGAGCCGGATTTTTAACGTTCTAGTTCACACGGTATCAGTCCGCAGGAAGACATGTCACCTTACCCGGACACATTATTCTGACTCAGAGCCGACCAGTCTTTGCTCTTACTCCTTAATCCTGCGTGTTTAGCGGAGAAGCAGCAAATGCCAATGTTAGTCTTTGGTTTGACCCGGTCGAGGTTTTAACCCACGACCTACCGCATTCGAGGCAAACACGCTACCACGAGACCATCGAGGCGGTTCTGCTTCGAAGAACGTCACTACCTAAAGTAAAACAATGTGTACTAAGATGAGTAAAAAGTGTGACATTCTCACTTTATTTCTCGTCAATTGTCAAACAATACATCACTTTACTTCAAACAGAAATTTGATTTTAGTTTCAATCAGAATGTCCCACTTTTTACATTTTGATGATAAATTTTCAAAATTTACAGAATTCTGACACACTTGTTTTTTTTTATTGTGTGTGCAATCTTCAGGCTAAACTTGTGTACCATATAATCTGTTTAAAATAAGTCGCATTATTGTAAGAATATAAAAGTACACTCATGGAGTTCTGCTAATGTAAATCAAAGTACAGATTGTTTATTTGTTGCCGCTATTATGAAAAACATCCAGGAGGACATTGGCACTACCACTTTGATTTTAAAGTAAAAAATACCTTTTTTTATAAATACACATTGGAATAGACATATGAAGACATATTCGCGGGAGGGTGTATATTTGGCATTTTCACGGCTATTCAGACTGCGAATGTTTATTCAATTCATTATCCGGCGTTAAGACAGGGCCTTGCACCTTTCTCTTTCAGTCGCCCCATTCAATGTCAGCCCTCTGTGCCGACAAAACTTATCAAATTGAAAACCTGTTCAATATTTTATCGTCATAAATTTTATTTAAATAGTTCTATACTGGACGTAAGAAAAAAACTGCAAGTTACTTCTAGCAGTTTTAGGGAGATTGTATTCTGTATTATTTATTTGCCAGCCATCAGATTTTGGGTCATCCTTGTTTACAGAACGTCAGTGCTTTGATTTAGCTCGGTGATAATTTTTTACAGATAAATTTTTGTACGTGGACGATCGTCTCCCTTAAATTTTGATAAAGACTGTTATATATTATATACAATTTTCAAAGACAAAAAGAATACCATCTAGCAAAGTTATTTAATTTCATATTCAAATATATTGATGATGTCCTGCCACCCAAGAATCCATACATCTCATATATCCCAGTGAACCTCAGAGTTCTCGAAATTGTTTTCCCTGGTGGTCCTTGAAGAAAGTCTGCTGGTCCTCACTATTATCTATATACAAAAACAAAACTTGTGTCGGTCCTTTGTAAAGTTTGGGGTCAAAACCTTCGGACCCCCACTCTTCAAGAACTTTGGAACCAGGGGTGAAAACTATCGAAAGCAGAAGGTCTTCTTCATATCTTGATCTATTCCTCGATATTGAATATTTGGACGACTTCAAACATGAATGTATAACAAACGTGATGATTTCAACTTTCCAATTGTCAATTTCCCATTTCTCAGCAGTAGCTTTATACCATCTGCTCCATCGTGTGGAGATAACATATCTCTGTTAATACTTTACGCTCATCAATGATCACACTATACGGACTTCGTTAACTGGGTTGTGCTCCTAAAAAAACTGCTCCAAATGGTCATGAGTATCGGTCAACATCACGAATTGGCTGATCGATACGATGTGTCTGTGTCTCAACTCACGCGACATGTCTTTGCGGTCTAAGAATTTAAGATACCAGTATAATAGTCTGGTATCTAATTTTTTCGATTGTTTTATTCGCGATTGTGACATTTTTACTGAATGCGGATTCACATGGCGGTTGGTGCATGCATAGCATGAGACGCTAACCGTGACGACGTATCCGGTCTGGCTCTTTCGGGGGTTCCTGCGATTCCATAAGTCTTTGTTTGTTACCTTGATTTGAATCTGTATTCATAAGAACTTCAATTTGACCCTTAACTGGAGATGGGTTAAGCACGCCATAAACGTGTTTAGTTATTTTTAAGATAAGAATGTCAAAATTGAAAAGTGAAACAAAGCAGCCACCGGGATCCAGCCCACAAAAATCATTCTTAAACAGGCGAAACGATAATTTACATTTTTTTTTAATCTATAACATGAAATCAAACAGACCTAAAAAAAATCGTCATTATGCGGTTGCATGCTTGTGCTTGTTTGTGCATGTATTTATATCTATGTTTGTGTTGACGTCAGGTATTCATGACCATCGGAAGTCTTTGGAGATAATCTCGATGGTTAGAATTAGATGGGTCCAGCCTAAAATACACACGAAATGCTGATACATTATGAATAGCGAGTCCATGAATTGTTAATTGTTTCTTTACACAAGTGGTCTTTGTGTGACCTACCGAATTAGACTTATCACCGAGTTTGTACTAATATGAGCAACACGACGGGTGCCACATATGGAGCAGGATCTTACCCTCCCGGAGCACCTGAGATCACCCCCTGTTTTTGGTGGGGTTCGTGTTGCTCAGTCTTTAGTTTTCTGATCTTTTCTAAATTGTGTTTTTTGTACTGTTGTTTGTCTGTTTGTCTTTTTCTTTTTTAGCCATGGCGTTGTCAGTTTATTTTCGACTATGAGTTTGAATGTCCCTTTGGTATCTTTCGCCTCTCTTTTAGGACTTATTGTGATTTGGATAGACGTTTTTGTATATTATAAATAAAATATGAGAATTTGTAGGTGCATTGCAGGTCACTTTCGGGGAAAAGAGGACGGGGTTGTAGTTACGACAATTGGAACATATCCGTCGTCATCTGTGAAACAGATATTCCTTAATGGTCAACCAACTCATGATGGTGTCGGTAAAATTTTCGAAGGCATGATTTCAACTTCACCACTTGGAACTCTTGGTTTAATAGCTTCCAGATGTGTCAATAACTTAAATACAACTTATATCGTGACACTGGAACAAACAAACCGAAGAGAGATATCTGTTGATTAAGCTCTAGGTTAAAGTCGGGGGCCACTGTGACCTACCTAGGCCCCAAAAGTAGTAAAAACTATAATATGATGCTCACATTTACCCACGAAATTCACGAAATTAGTGTCAAACGAATAATAACAAATACCCAGATCTTATTGACCTCCGATTGTTTTTGCGTTGGTTTGCTGTCTCGTTGACACATACCCCATCTTCTTTTATTTATTATAATTGTTCCTACACTTCAGACTAATGAGATTAGGACAACCCAATTTTTTTTTTATTAATTTTACATTTCATTTAACTTATTTGATCATAGTATGACATTAACAAAAATGTTATAGTTGTCAAACATTGCCCAGCGGAGTGATTGTTAGAATATCAATATCTGATACACAAAGGGGCTATGGCAGTGACACGGTCTGTGTAGGTAGAAGACAAAGGGGCTATGGCAGTGACACGGTCTGTGTAGGTAGAAGACAAAGGGGCTATGGCAGTGACACGGTCTGTGTAGGTAGAAGACAAAGGGGCTATGGCAGTGACACGGTCTGTGTAGGTAGAAGACAAAGGGGCTATGGCAGTG